ATGGAGGACACGACTAAAGCCCTGCAATCCTGGTGTATTTAATGTTAATCGGGCTGATACGTTGACCTGGCTTTACTTTATTATCTCATTAAAGTTTGGCCGAGAGGTGTCACCGTCCGAGTCTGGCCACTGCGACCGACTTCTGCTCGTCTAATTCGATTTAAACGCATCAAACCCGAGTGAACGAGTGAAAGAGTCGGTTCACAGAAATTTCCGGAAACAGGTAGTTGCAGGTTTTATTGGTTAAGAAAGTGGCACCTATTTAAAAATACCGTTCGGTCTGTCCAGAAACCTGCTTGTTTCTATTGGAATAAGATAAACTGTATTGAATTCACATCTAAGCTACACACAAAGGAAGGACAGGTTAAAACATGAAGATGTTAAAAGACTCTCACATGCACAGATGTGGTTTGATGGAGAATTGTACCCAAAAATTGCACATAAAAGAGCAGCAGTGTGACATTCTGCAATTACAGCGTTTACTTCTCTCGGTACAAAACACAGAAAACGACAAGTGGAGCTTTATCGGGGTGTTATAGCGTGATCTACCAACAAACCTTTCACCGTAGAGCGGCTGCAGTCAGTTTAAGAGAAAGAAAACCTGCGTATAATTCAGTATCTCCCTCTGCAGCTGTCTGCCGTGTCACAGTGCCTCTGAGCAAGGCGGCCTCCTGCTGCGCTCGCCTCACTCACTCAGTCCTGATGACATTTTCCTCAGACTGTAACATGTCGTAATCTTTTGTTTTCCTTGCAATTTTTCCAGTTTTTTTTTTTTTTCCTCGTCTCAGCACACACTGAGCAATGTATTTTGGAGACGGGGTGGAGGGGAGGGGATGGATTAACTTTTTTTTTTTTCTTTCTGTCTACACGAGCAGGGCTTTGGGGAGTCCAGCTGGGCTATAAAGCCACTTTAACATGCAGCTATAAACTTGTGCAGACCTAATTAGAAAGTTGACTCAGATGAGACATGCTGTTACAGTCTCACCCCTCCATTGGTCCCCGGGGCCTGTCAATCACGGAGGTGACGTAATGCTGTCTGGCTCTCCGCTGCCAACACACAACACTGATGTTGGACGTTTTCACTCAGCTGTGTTGCAGGTTATACGTGGACATAAAAAAAAAAAACATTCAATTAAATCCTTAATGGGGTTTTGCCTGCATGTCAATGTTTAACACAAATGTTTCAGCTGTGTTGTCAAGTTTAAACCATATTCAAGCTCATTTCACCTCTTTTTTTTTGGCTGTTTTTATTTCTAATAAAAAAAAAGACACCAAGAGAAGGCTTCTATTGTGAAGCTGCCTCAGAGGAGCTGAATCTCAGCCACAGGGCCGCTGCTGGTTATTAAAAGGCACCTCAGCCTAAATGTAGTTTGGCCAACTGTCGCACACTTTCAACACAAGACAAAAATAAGAGCCGGCACCGCGTTCACCGTGAGCAAGTTTTAAATTCCTGCAAATACATTTTTAAACCAGGACTAAGCCAATGACTGCGATGATACGATCATATTGTTCATATTAGCAATGTGCACTCAATTAATGTCAAGTTTCCAGCAGCAGATACTAAGATGTTGTTGTGTTCAGCCGGCTGATGAACGACCGTGAGATGCAGCTGAATTCAAGGCGTTGGGAAAAAGAAAAAAGAAAATCAAGGTCCACTTACTCCTGGGAGCTTCAGTAAAAAGCAACTTGACTCTCCATCAGCGTGTTCCAACTAGAGTAGCCTCTTGAATGAAGGGAAACATCTTCGAGGACCAAACAGAGAAGAACAGTTGGTTCTGTTCTGAAGCTCCCAGGATTACAATGACCTGGATGAATAAGAATCTGCACAGAAGTAGGGTTGCTTACTGTTTTTTTTTTTTTTGCTGGAGATCTGCGTCACACAGTCTTCATCGGGGGAGAACTTTACTTTTACTAAACTCCATAGCAGCACACTACGTCTGTCAGGTTTAATGTTTGTCATTTTGCTAATTAAGATGAAACACGACTGAGACTGAACAATGTCTCGCAGGTGTTTGGTCGATGACAAAAAGTTGAAATTTCGACCTGATGAGCCACTAAAGTTCTTGGAGTTCACCCTGAGGGGGACGACGTGAACGTGTGGATCCAGTTTCATGACAATCCGTCCAATATCTGAGGAGACATTTTGTGAACTTGACGCAGAGGATCAGGATGCATCGTCTGGCAACAAGTTGATGATGTAGGTCCCCGATTTTTGGTTTCGCCGATTCAGATCTGATTACAAACCACCTGCCCGATATTACGTAGTTACCCCCCTCCGCCCCTCATGCTGCCAAAATAGCTCTG